GGCCACTCCACCCAGCCATATCAATACTCATATTGCCCGAGTTACGGGACAAGGAGGTGGAGTTGCAGCAATCTTTGACTCAAGTTTACTTATCAATACTAAACCAAAATTAAATTATACCTACTTTGAAAGCCTCGTTTTTAGTCTTACGCATCCGACCATTTCTTAGTAACTTTTGAAGTACTATTACGAGACTACAAAGCATTAGTCAAAAGCTCTTGCAGCAGAAACCTATCTGTTAGTGCTATAGCCAAATTTAAGGAAGAGATTCCACCAATACTTAACTCGATAGCATGTCTGCATGTAAGGGAGGAAACTTATACAAAATGTACACCACCCCAAATTGATCATGTTGTTGATAGTGCTACAGATGCGCTGCGAATAAAATTAGACTCTGTTGCTCCTTTGAAAAAGAAGAAAATAAAACAACATAGATTAGCTCCATGGCATAATGCCGAAACCCGCAAAATAAAGCAAAAGTCGAGACAACTTGAAAGGATATGGCGTTCCACTAAACTTGAAGAATCTCGTTTAATTTGGCATATTACTCTCAATGAATATAAGAAAGCACTGCGTAAAGCGAGAGCAGCCTACTACTCTTCATTAATAGATGAGAATAAGAATAATGCAAGATTTCTTTTCAGCACTGTAGCCAGGCTGACAGAGAGCCACAGCTTGATTGAGCCTTCTATTCCCATAGCACTCAGTAGTAATGATTTTATGTGCTTTTTTAACAATAAAATTGTTACTCTTAGAAACAAAATGAATGACCTCTTGCCTTTGACCAGTATAGTGTTATCAACAGCTCCCGGAAACGTAAGTTCTAATATTACACTAGATAGTAAACTAGAATGCTTTTCAGCCATTAACCTTGAACAATTAAATTCAATGATTCTCTCTTCTAAACGATCAACGTGCATGTTAGACCCAATTCCAACTAAGCTGTTGAAGGAAGTTTTTCCATTAATTAGCGCTCCTTTATTAAATATTATGAATATGTCTTTATTATCAGGCTATGTTCCACAATCATTCAAAGTAGCAGTGATAAAACCTCTTCTTAAAAAGCACAACCTCGATCCAGAGGTTTTAGCCAACTATAGACCTATTTCTAATCTTCCGTTCCTCTCAAAAATTCTTGAGAAAGCTGTCGCAAAACAGCTGTGTGATTACTTAAAAAACAATGATTTATTTGAAGATGTTCAGTCTGGCTTTAGAACACATCATAGCACAGAGACAGCTCTGGTTAAAGTCACAAATGACATTCTAATAGCCTCAGACAAGGGACTTGATTCTATTCTTGTTTTGCTCGATCTCAGTGCTGCATTTGATACTATCGACCATGATATCCTATTGCAAAGACTAGAGCACTTAGTTGGCATACAGGGAACTGCTTTAGGCTGGTTTAGGTCCTATCTATCTGAACGCTCTCAGTTTGTACGTGTTAACGATGAATCTTCCACGCAAACCAAAGTTAGTCATGGAGTGCCACAGGGTTCAGTGCTCGGACCTATTTTGTTCACATTATATATGCTTCCGTTAGGCAATATTATAAGGAATCATTCTGTAAACTTTCATTGTTATGCGGATGATACTCAACTATATTTATCAATCAAGCCTGATGAAATTAATCATCTAAATAAAATTCAAGACTGCCTTAAGGACTTAAAAACGTGGATGACCTTACATTTTTTTATGTTAAACACGACCAAAACTGAAGTTATTGTACTTGGCCCGAAGAATCTACGAAACAAATTATCTAAAGATATACTAACTATGGATGGCATTAATTTGGCCTCCAGTGAGACTGTAAGGAATCTTGGTGTTATATTTGATCAGGATTTATCCTTTAACGCCGACATAAAATCAATTTCAAGGACCGCCTACTTCCATCTACTTAACATTGCAAAAATCAGGCATATCTTGCCTCAAAACGATGCAGAGAAACTTGTCCATGCATTTGTTACTTCAAGGCTGGATTATTGTAACTCCTTATTATCAGGGTGTACCAAGAAGTCAGTCAAGTCGCTTCAGCTGATTCAAAATGCTGCAGCTCGTGTACTAACCAGAGTTAGGAAAAGGGACCACATTACTCCTGTTCTGGCTGCCTTACACTGGCTCCCTATAGAACACAGGATAGCATTTAAAATGATTCTTCTCGCCTACAAAGCCCTTAATGGGCAGTCGCCATCTTACCTTAAAGAACTCATTATACCCTACTGTCCTATTAGGGCATTGCGTTCCAAGAATGCAGGGTTGTTGGTTGTTCCTAGAGTCTCTAAAAGTACAATGGGAGCCAGAGCCTTTTCTTATCAAGCTCCACATTTGTGGAATCAGCTTCCAGTTTGTGTTCGGGCGGCAGACACCCTATCCGTTTTTAAGAGTGCGCTTAAGAACTTCCTTTTTGATAAAGCTTATAGTTAGGGCTGATTAGATTCAGCCCCTAGTTTTGCTGATATAGGCTTAGTTTGTCGGGGGACATCTTACTTCTTCCTTCTCTCTGTCTATACCTGTGTACTCTCATATTCCGATTAACCCAGCTTCCCCAAATTTCTTTCTTTTTGGTGTCTATATACGCCGGGATCCGGAGACATGGATGATCCTGCGGTCCTGTGTCCTGGATCGCGAGCCCTGGATCTTGAGTCATGCCTGTGGTCCTGGATCATAGGTCCTGGATGCATATCCTCGTGGATTCATCTTCCTATTATACACACATGCATTTCCAAACATTTGGACTACCTATGTTGCAAATGTATTATCTTTTCAATTTACACACGGCATCTATTGCACGTCTGTCCGTCCTGGGAGAGGGATCCCTCCTCTGTTGCTCTCCCTGAGGTTTCTCCCATTTTTCCCTTTAAAACTGTGGGTTTTCTCCGGAAGTTTTTCCTTGTACGATGTGAGGGTCTAAGGACAGAGGGTGTCGTATTGTCATACTGATATTCTGTACACACTGTGAAGACCACTGAGACAAATGTAACATTTGTGATATTGGGCTATATAAATAAACATTGATTGATTGATTGAACACCGGAAATCCCCACGGAGGTCCCCATATTTTACCGTGATTTAATTGTAATACACGTTTCAAAATGATGCCGAAATAACAACATACTGATACCGGTTAGTAAAAACCATGAATTAATGCTGTGACAAATGTGCAGACAAGACGGCAGGCGAAAAAACTTTTAAAATGTGTATTTTCTGAATGGAGATCGGATCGATCAGGATAAACTAACCTGTAGCTGCTCCGTCCAAACTCACAACAACGTCATACAGACATAAATAAAGCAGCGACTGTATTCACCATGACATAGACAGTCTGTGGTTTGTTCATGTTTAATTTTTGTCCAGTTTATGAACAGATATTCATATGAGGAGCTGTGAGCTCTGTGTGCTAACAGCTAATGGCTGATGTTTCGGGACAGTTGCGCTGTCGGCTGCAGACCAATCACGAAGCGTCATTTCTTGACTGGCAGCAAAAACAACCAATCACAGCAGTGCTTCTCTGGCTGTCTCTGTCCAATCAAACAAGAAGTGTTCTCCCAAAAGGAATATCCTTTCCGTATAAATTGAAATGCTGTGGTGTTTTGTGAAATGCTGTGGCGTTTTGTGAAACGCTGTGGTGTTTTCTGAAATGCTGTATCGTTTTCTGAAATGCTGTGGCGTTTTCTCAAATGCTGTGGCGTTTTCTCAAATGCGGTGGCGTTTCCTGAAATGCGGTGGCGTTTCGTGAAATGCGGTGGCGTTTTCTAAAATACTGTAGCGTTTTGTGAAATGCTGTGGCGTTTCCTGAAATGCTGTAGTGTTTTGTGAAATGCTGACTTGTTTTGTGAAATGCTGTAGCGTTTTGTGAAATGCTGTGGTGTTTCCTGAAATGCTGTTTTGACTTGCACTTCAGGGCCACCGTAAGTTGTTGATAGCTGTTTCACCTACCATTTCAGTTGTGTCTTGGAAAATAACGTTGTTTTAAAAAGTTATATATAAATAAAGAATATTGTCAATACTATAATCATTACCATCACAATACCATTCTTAGTATCATATACATATAATCATAATCAGCTGTGTTGGGGTTTTATTATCAACAACAAACTCATGGCAGGGCTGTAGTCCACGTTTTAAAATACTGAGATCATTAATAGTCCCTGATCCCCCTAACAGGAGAAGTAAAGGTTTTTTTTTGTTTTTTGTTTGACCTGGACCTGAGAACTTTTTGTTGGCCAGACTGAAATATCCCTACAACTATAGGATGGATATTGGTATAATCTTGGTTAGGAAATCCATGTTCCCCTCATCTGACTTTTCACCACCATCATCAGATACAATTGTGATTGTCCAATATTCTGTTTTAGCTTAATGCCTGCAAACCTACAGACCTTCGCACCAGCCTCAGCTGTGCTTTGTGTGTAGTGCCAATTTGCAAATGCAATTAAAACCAAACCCACTAAACATCATCATTTATGAGTCAATTAGCCCATTTGGTCAACAAAAAGGAACACATTGTTTCTGTCATCAGCCTGCAAATAAACTCAACTTCCAACAAGTCCACTCTATTTGGATTTTGTAACCTAACACAAGACTACAAAAACATTGTTATTTTGTTAAATTATGTAAGCCAAAATTCCACTCTCTTTCATATCCAGTGTCCATTTATGTTTAGAAACATTGCTGTCACACACACACACACACACACACACCACACACACACACACACACACACACACACACACACACACACACACACACACACACACACACAACACACACACACACACACACACACACCAACACACACACACACACACACACACACACACACACGCACGCGCACACACACACACACACACACACACAACACACACACACACACACACACACACACACACACGCGGAGGGCTAAAGTATACTCTTCAGACACATTAGACAGAGGGAGGGTGGGGCGCCAGTAAAGATTTCTTAATGGGCTCTGACGTCCTCTCGTCCATCTGCCTTGATGATAAACACAGCTGGTCCATTTTATCCTGATGCGCATCACCGCCTTCTCCGTCTTCTTTTTCTTTATTTACCATCAAACCATTAATTTAACACTTTTCATCGCAGGAGCATAACATCTACATGAGTGAGGACTAACACGTTCATGGTTTTTTTTCTCCAAAAGAATGGGATATGGAAATGATGGGAACAAATAAGTAACATTTAATTTCACCTTTCCATTACCGGACTTCAGTGGAGTAAATCAGTCGGATGTGTGGTCAGAGCGCATGGGGAGCGCACTCCGTGGGACTGTGTGTGTGTCAGTGACACTCTCCATCCGGTCACAGCCCTAACCCTAACCCCAAACAGCCACTGTCCTGGAGGAGGATGCCTTCCTTGCACCACGGAGCAATTTTCGTAGGAGCCTTCCTCATTGTGACCGGGGGCTCCACAGCCTTCCTGGCCTCGTCCCAGAGCCGCCTGCAGGCTTTCTCCCTGTGCTGCGTGGTGCTGGGGGTGGTCATGCTCATCCTGGGACTATTCTGGGCTATGAACAGCAAAAGTGCCGCAAACTACAACCACCGAGAGTTCGACCCAGAGTGCCCACATTATCCATTCAACGACTACCCCAACTTCGGCAGCCATGCCCTCTTCTCACCCCCAGGGAGCCGCTTCCCAGAATCCCAGTCGGTGTTTCTGCCCAGGTCGGTGAAATCAAATATCAGTTTAAATAGTTCACAGTTCAGTATTTGTCAGTAAGACTAATTGTATCATGAAACCAGAAAATAAGACTCCAAGTATATATTTTAGTGTATTACATGGCTTTTTTTTTTTTTAAAGCTGTAACCAAACTAATATATTTTATGATTGCCATAAACACTTACAGCACTTTGCCATGTTGTCTCATTAATTATCCCTGTTGCAGCTCTGTATCAGGTTCAGTTAAAGGGTTGTTTTGAGATGGAGTTATTCATAATTACAAAATACAGAGGGTTGCACACAGAAACAACTGCACATTTTCAAGAGATATGCTCACTTTAAATTACTTTATTTTTCCTGTTTTTACGTTAAAAAACAATATATAAACATTCAAACAAGAAAAAAAGCCATCTTGATTTCCGCATGCAGGCCATGCTCAGCCGTGGATGACACAGTCCTTTATTGGCAGGATCCCATTGAAACAACAGGCAAGATACACAATAATCTAAATATAGTCACAACTAAAAGAAAGTTAAATAAGTCTATTGAAATGTTTGAAAATGCATTTATTGTCTTTCTTGACATTTCTTTGATGAGAAACTTCCCACTACTCTCTTGTCTCTACAAGACTTGTGAAAACAGAGCCAGCACCCTGTTAGCCTAGCTTAGCATAAAGACTGGAGACCACATGGAAATCAGCTGGCTCAATAAAAAAATCAAAATAACAATTACAGTTTGTGGAGGTTATGCATCAGTCTAGGTTGTGTTTGAAGTTGAATATGCCTACTTACTAAGGCTTTATTGGAAACCATAATAATAATGGCATTGCAAAACATATCATGATAAAGGTGTTACCATTCAATATATTGCAGACTAAAAAGCACATTACTTTTGTTTATGGCTGTAATTCAAAAGCTCTTCATACTGCACAATATCAATATAGTAATAATAGTTTCCATAATATCCATGGGAAACCTACACCCTGTATTTGGCATCAAACACTACACACAGAACAAGACTCCCTCTGCTAACTATGATCTCTACTGCTGTTTGTGTTTGTTCACATGTTTTTTCTCACTGCCACTGTTTTCTTGAGTGCAGGACAATGGAGCACCACAGACATGGGGCTCGTGGGGAGGAATTTGATTACCCTCCCATGGACCCTGTTGGTTTCAGCCCATCGCCTCACCCTCCTCTGTGGCAGGAGCCCCCCCCTCCCTATGAGGTGGCCATCAAGACCACATGCAGCTCCACACAACTGCGACGTGCATACTCAGACACACACCTGGCATCAGAGCCCCTGTTTGGACGCTCGAGAGAGATCAGCTTTGAAGTGTGAAGCTGGATAATACGGACAGTGAAAAATAAAGAGTCATCAGACTGAGGCTTTCACAGCAAAAGCTGCCTTCTGACAGAAACAGACTTTATCAAATACTTGAAGCATGCTTCTTCCTGATGTTGACCAGTGGGTCCTAGCATGCTTTACCTAACTTATCTCTAATTCAAATGCAGGTGTAAATGTATATTTTAATATATGCTGAAATGAAAGGTACATCAAACCAAATACAGCCTTAGAAGCCCAAAACAAAGCACCAAATATAAATGTAAAAGCACATACGTTCTGGACAGTTTTATCAAGTCACAGTTGTTTTCAGCCTTTACGCTAAACTATCCAGACCAGACACCTCAGGTAGGGTCATATCTATTCACACCAAAGAACATTTATTCAACAAACAGTGGCAATGTTTCCTGACTCAGTGCAGCAGATTTTTATAAGAACAAAAATACATTTTGATCAGCAGTGTATAGAAAAAATAAATGGCCAATGATTGTGTTATTTTTCTATAATCTTACCAAACCTTTAATCACTTATATGATTAGGTATTATGTGATTGGATCAGGATTTCTTGAAAGACACATTGCTGTTGAGATTTTCATGTATTTTTGTGGCGCTTTAGACACAAGCCTAGTGCCATTTAGATCTAATATATTGGAGAGAAGGCAGACATCTTAACTCCTGATTACTCCCACCAAAACAATCTAGATTATTAAATAGCAGTAAAGTTACAGATGTCTTATTTGAACTGTTCTTTAAATTGAAACTGATAAAGACCTGCGCTTTATTTTAGGTTGTCTGCCACGGTAACAGAAGCACACAGGAAATCCAGGATTTCCATTCATTTTAGAATAATCCTTCTTTCTGGGATCCCGAGTTGACCACAGAGGACCGTTTTCTTTTAGTTTTCCTCGTCCATCAAACTAAGAAGTGTTCCATCTTTTCCCCATCAGGACTAACACACATTATCACAGGATGGATATGAATATAATTCACTTTCGGAAAAAAGCACCCCGGTAGACGTTTGCTTGCCACGCATGTCAGCTATTCATCAGCTTGTTGAAAACAGAGGGAACAATGACTCATCTGATCATGAGTTTGTTTCACCGCTCACTAGATCACTGACAACACGGCCTGACCTTTAAGCAACCACAGAATCACTCTGAATGTGCAAATCATTTGAACCCTTAAACTTGATTGGAGAAGATACTTAATTGTAAGAAAAAGCATTAATTAGATTTAAAAAATGGCATGAGACCTACAGATGTTGGTGAAATAAGTTGTCTCCTATCTCCTAAATCCTGCATATCAGCGAGCTGCCACCATGATGGAAAACTACAATAGCTTTGACAAAATCATGCACCAAATTAATATACTGTAGGGATTAACAAATCTTAATAAAAAATAGTAAAATAAATAACAGGGTATCAACTATCATGGTTGCATAACTAATGCTTGTGAAGCATCTTCTAAGTGAATTCCATGTCGTAATGAAATTAACAAAATGTTATTATAAAATTGCACAAAACCCATTATTGTAAATCATGTAAAAGATGGAAACACAAGATTGTTCTGTGCATATTTCCCTTTTTTTACCCGACTGGTTAGGTTGTTTTATGTATATTTCCAAAATATGAAGTTTGTCTAAAATCTATAGAATTAAATATAGTATGTGTTAAATGTCAGCTCACACATATTTGTTATACTGAATTAATTGTGCGATGAAAAGTCTTTCTGCTTTCATCACCTCTGAAATAAGATCCTGCACTGAATTGATGACCACAATTACACTGTTGTGAGCACAAGGACGACTGACTTCAGCTGCTCTGAAGGACACACACGGTTACTTCTGAATATGCATGCTTCTATGAATGATGGTTTTAATCTCTGAAAAGGTATCTAAAGGGATAATTTTGCACCATGTTTTTAATGTGTGTGTATTTGCATTTTATGTTAATAAAATGCACTTGAAAAATACATGAAATAAATAAAAAATGATCCTATTGTACCTACTGTACGTTTTTGTCTCAACTAATTGTTCTATTAGAAATAATTTTGTCCTTGTGTTTTTAAGGTCTATTTCAGAATATCAAGAATCTACCGTGAGAAATCAAGACAAGCTGCTACATTTGACTCATGATAACTGATGGTCATTAAGCCTTTTTCCGCTCTTTTCTCATACAGTCCCTAGCTGATGCTAAATCGGGCCAGGGGCGTAAAGTGGAGGGGGGGATAGCCTTCCCCACTTCCTGGGCACCTTGCTTGGACCACATCCGTCTAAGCAAATATTGGATTTTGCAGTAAGACAAAATAAAGTGTCTACAATATACACATGTTGTCATTTCAGACTATCTAAAGATAGCTCATAGTGAGAAAATACTCCAACGGCAAGCATACATATGAGGAGAAAACGGCTTTTGCCACAAAGACAGCAACAAGTACTCTTTCGAAGTAATGAAAATGTTGAGGGGGGCATTGTATGCCTCTGGCCAGATTTGGGGTCGCAGCTGTGTTTTCCCATTTCAAGATGGTCTCACGTTTAGTTTAGTTGCCTCTTAATGTATTTTTATTGAATGATCAGAGAATATCCATGGAAGACAAGCAAAACACACAAAAGTATCTATCTGTCTGTCTGTCTATCTATCTATCTATCCATCCATCTATCCATCCATCCATCTACCTATCTGAAAGCGACCCCTGCCGTTCGGTAATGGTATATTCCAGTGAATAGCGGGATACCCCTCCAGGGATTGGCATATGAACCATTTGGCACCAGTCTCTTTTCCATCTTAGTGCTTCTGCAGTGAAGCTCTTCCTGCTCCACCCTCAGCAGAGCTCACACACACACACACACACACACACACACACACACACACACACACACACACACACACACACACACACACACACACACACACACACTATAATAATATGAGTTTATCAGCTCATATTATTACTGGGACTATATTTCTCTCCTTGTGCAAACAGCTGCCCAAACAGAAGCAAAGTGATAATGTTCAGACCGCGCGCTCGCCCTGCCCTCCATTCCTCGTCACTGGAAGCACTTCCTCATATCCTCACGGCTCTGCTCCTGCTGCCAGATGAAAACCCAACAGCGCCAGGCCCACATGCGACGTCAACTCCTTTTTGGTGCTGTAACCCCACCCCAAAAACCGGATATGATTCTTCCGCGGGGAGAGAAATAAAAACAACAGAGGAGCAGATAAAGAGACCCGCGCGGCGGAGGGACACATACGGACTGAAGCGGAGTTAAGCATGTTTGCGCCAGAGTTTTTCCAGGACACCATATGGACATTATGAGCGGGATTAAAGTTGATGAAGAGGAGAAAAGAGATGATTCATCTTTCAGTCCTCACAACCGCTGAGCAGCTCCTCACAGACTCTTCCTATCAGGTAGAGAGAGGATCGGGGATTTACGTGTTGCGTGTTTATCCCCCTGGTGGCAGTTTCCTCTCACACACACACACACACACACACACACACACACACACACACACACACACACACACACACACACACACACACACACACACACACACACACACACACACACGCACACACACACGCACACACACACACGCACACACACACACACACACACACACACACACTCAGTAGTAGTTTTGGATGCTGTGTATTTGACCCTGCCTGTTTTCCTTAATAACCTATAGCATTCATTTAAATGAAATGTATTTAACAAACAGTATGTTATTTTTTATCTTATTCTATTTGACATGTATTGAGACTCATGCATTTACTTGGTCATTTACACCATTCTCTGCAACATTTAGCTTATTGTATTTCTACTATGCTTCTTCTTGCACTTTTTTAACTAGCTGTTTAAAAAAAAAAAAGTGTTATGTCTTAAATATATGTATGTTGAATTGTTGGAGGAGCCCAAGACTCTTTCATGGCCATAAGTACACTGTAGTTACTTACATATATTAAAGCCTTTGAATCTCTCCTGTCTCTCCTGCAGACTGGCTGCTGAGGTGGAGGCGAAGCAGGAAAAGTGAATTCCTTAAAGGCAGGGGCTCTGGAGATGCCTCTCCCCCAGGGAATGCTGCTCTGCCTGGGCATCGTAATGATGGCTGTTGGGGGGGTCATGGCCCTGTGCTTGGGTCTGCCCAACGAGTCGGCCCCACTGTTTGGGGTGGGTCTGTTCCTGGGCCTGGGGGGCGTGGCCATGCTGATCAGTGGACTCTGCATGGCCATGAAGAATCTGCAGGTGGCTGTGCCCGGACACTTCCTCCTGCACCCCCGCACAGGCAGGCGCTTCAGCCCCCAGCAGGCCCTGGCTATTCAAAGGTACACATGCACAGAGGAACATGCACAAAGCCTGTATGACAGAAGTAGGGAGGTCCAAAGTTATTAAATACTTTCATTTTTGGGTTTTAAGACAGTTTGTGTGCATTGGGATGCACTGGTTTCCAAGCAGGGAGATAGGGAATACGTTAAGAAAGAAAAAAGACATAAATCTTCCTCACTATTCTATTTCATTTGTAGTTATCTTTGTTTTTCTCCCATTAATAGGCCCACTGGTTAGTTTGACATATTTAAGCCTTTCACAAAGTATAAGCAAAAAGTAATATCCAACGTTAAAAAAAAATGTAGGGTCCAATTTTGACCTGATGATGGATCGAGGCATAACAAAAGAAAGGTTTATTTCTTGAGGGGTGCGTGAATGTATACCAAATGTCATGGTTATCCATCCAATAGATGATGAGTTCACTTAAAACCAAACATGTCAACCTGATGTTGGAGCTGGAAAGAAATCACCAAAGCGAGTATACGGATAAATCCTCTGGGAACGCTAAATGTTTGTACTATATTTTGTCGTAATCCATTCTATCATTGCTGACATATTTCTGTCTGGTCAAGAGGGACAGAGGACAATACACTGAAATCCCCTTCTAGATAAAAAAACTGTTCTTTTGTAAACATGTAAGCAAAGAACTTTCCAGGCTTCCCTCATGTTTTTTAAGATAAATAAACGAGCATTCAGACAAATACCAGAACACACCATCCAGGGAGCTGAGCTGACAAACAGTCTTGTTGTTGAACAGATCTCTTGGACACATCCCCACTTTATTAGTTATAGTGTGACGTTTGGCAAAGAGCAGTGAACCACTTTAGGAAATGAACAACTCTGAACTTGTGAAACTGAGAACTGGAACGAAACACATGTTCTGATTTTGGACTGATTAGAATAATAGGTCATGGAGAAAACAGCCGACACACATTCATGTGGCAGACAGATTCTCCATAGCATTATCTGAGGTAATCTACAATAGCCAGTAAATGTATACAAGACATTCTCTGTTCATTGTCGAGCACAGAGGAAGAGCGACGGCAGGAGCAACATCCATCATGAAGGCTTTCTCTACCTCCAGACACTCACAGAACTATATCTAAACCTGAGCTATACATGATAAATGTGCAGTCCAATCTTTCTCATTAGAGAATGATGAAACCAAATCATCATAGGGGAATAATATGCAAAAAGCAGAATGCATTTTTGAAGGGAATGTGAGATAAATGCTGTTACGTGAAATGTATACTGGAAAAGTTTTGAGTCAAGAGGCAGCAGGAGTCATTCAGGACAAGTGTGGAGCTCTTATGTAATGTAAGTTTGAACAAAATTAGAAAAATGACTTGAAGTGTTGAGAGGAGTTGAAGTTGTGGGTGTAAAAGTTATCACTGAAACTAATGGATCATTTAAAGGCTGAAATGAGTTGATGTGTAAGATAAAGTATGGTTTCTAAAAAAAGTTCTCTATCAATTTAAGTTTAAACGCTAAAAAGGAGTTGAAGTGAGATGAAAAAAAAGCCACTGCAAGAAGTCGACTGTAATTTCAAGTGTAAATGCCGTTTATCACTTAAAGTTTATGCACTTAAAGTTTAAGATAAAAGAGAATGAAATTGACTGTAAACTGAATCGCTACATGGTTTGAAGTATAATTAGACACAGTGTATAGTCACACACAGGAGTTGACTGCTGGTTAAAGTATATGGAGTGATAACAGTTCAATGTAAACACTGAAAAGAGGTGAAGTTGTAGTTCAAGTGTTAACCACTGAAACACAGTTTAATATACCTGCCATTGCCTGTATTACACTCTCTCTCTGTGTGTACCTTCAGGAGGTTGGACCGGATTCGTCGAGAGATGTCAGAGGACTCAGTATGCAGCAGGGCACCAGAGCCCGAACCCCCCCTCCCATCCACCCCCCCACCCTGGACTATGGAGCCGCCTCCATCCTACGACACCGTGATGAAGAGCCAGGAGCACAGCGAGCAGCTTTAACCACTCGGTGGACATATTTACTCTATTGTTGCCTTTTGTCTTAGGATCTCAGTGGGAACCTTACGTTAACGGTGCTATGGATGAACATGAGGCCTCTTCTGTGCCTTAAGACAGTTGTCCTGAACCCAAACATAAGCCATAGAGCAGAACAAGACAGCAGCTGGGCAAAGACTCAATATTTGTACAGACTGAGCCCCAGTGTGGCCTCTGTGTTGACTGAACCTGATGTGATTGATTGTGAAAGCTAATGAAATTATCACTAGAACTGCTCTGGTCTATACACTCATGGCTTTTCTCTAGACCAACATTAGGTCACTTTTACAACAAAGTTTAGGGATTTATCAACAGTTTGGCTGCAAATCTCGTTTAAGCACCTAATAAGGATGTTGTATTGGGCTGATTGAGTTTAGGTGACCTACTACTGTGGCTGCAGAGCTATCTTCTTTAAGCACGATAAGAACGTTCCTCACAGCTCTCTGCACCCTCTCCTCTCATAACGAGATTATGCCAAGTGCCTTCACCATCGTCGGCAGAATGTAACATTACCGCTTTGTATCCTGTGTTCGCAAATTACCCACTGTTTGTCTTATGTTGTGATCTTTTTATAAACTCTAGTTAATGATTAGCTGCTATGCTCTCTGTGGGTAACAATTGTTTGTTTATTTAAAAGAGGGAAACCTTGGAAAGGCGGAGGAGAGAGACGTTGACTCAGTTAAAATCATGTCTAAACCAAGCAAACATAAACTCTCACTTGGCTCCAACTGTTCAAAAGCTCAGTTGCAAGTCTCCTTTTTGCTAGCAGCTTGAGGCAAGGTGACCTCTCAGGTATGTGCACACACACACACACACCCACACACACACACACACACACAACACACACACACACACACACACACACACACACACACACACACACACACACACACACACCACACCTGCAATTGTATACCTTTCCTGACTAGGCTGTCTGCAGGCTGTAATAACCAGCAGAGTGGAACCCTAACTCTGCTTTCTCCACCCTCACCTTCAAGCCCTGATTCATAACAACACCACACCTCCCCTCAGAAGGGAATGAGTTTTACATTTACAAAAATAAGAGCTTCATTAGCCAGCGGTGGTTGCAGCGATGGTCGAGGGGAAACCATATCGGTACGGGCTGATAGCGGCTGGGCTGTGTGTGGCAGCAGTCGGCCTCTTCATCATGACTCAAGAGCAACCACACATCTATGCCTCAATGTGCTTTCTAGGTGTTACCATGGTGTGTATCGGGACTGTTTGGAGCCTTTGCCAGTGCTATCCCAAGGTAGATACAGACTGTGTGTGTGTTGGGGAGAAAGACACAGGAAATACAGTGATTGTCATCACAATGAAATTGATTTGATAATAGAAAGTGTGTGTTGTTAGGTCTATTTGGTTCCTGAGATTCAGGAAACAAGTCTAGAGGAAGTGCTGTGTACTGCAGCTGGATCAAGGTACTCTCTCACACACACACACACACACACACACACACACACACACACACACACACTAATCTAATGGTCCACAGACAATCGGGTGTTCATTCATGCCTTAATGATTCGCTGTGGACTGTCAGGATGCCAAGCGGCCATCAGCTAGTGGGCGAAAATGGTGACAGCAGCAGTTTAATGTGTCCTTGCGGGGGGAAAGATGTCTACTGATACAATATGAACACTAACTTTATCATCTAAACAGGAAAATGTGGAGAAGTGAAGAAGTAGCTATAATCAGAGCAGAGGAGGGAGGAGTGGAAGTATGAAAGAGAAAAAAAGGATGAGTGGGGTTGTGAATGAAAAACGCAAATTAGTTGGAAACATAAGGGGGAGATTGAGCAATGCTCCCATTCTCTCTTAACAAGGACCATTGTTGTCTTTTGATTATAGCACTTGAGTCTCAGTGAGTACCACGACCAGTTGGTGAAACATGTGGTTGCATTGCACAGCTCCTGCATGTGTGTGTGTGTGTGTGTGTGTGTGTGTGTGTGTGTGTGTGTGTGTGTGTGTGTGTGTGTGTGTGTGTGTGTTATAACTCTTATGTTCAGCAGCCAGATAAAGACATGCATGCTCAGCAAAAGCCTCCCTCAGATAGAAAAAAGTAAGAAAATGAGGACAAAACACTAGAACCAGATTTCTATTTCTGTCTCTCCCACTCTTGGTTTAATTGTAGTCATGCTGAGGCTCTGCCAGGATTCAGTGGCCAACCGTTGAGAAGCAGCAGACTTCTTCACGAATCCCAGAAGAGTCACAGCTGTCCCACACTGCACCTGATCTGAGGGAGGGACACCTGCAGAGGACCCTCATCTGTCAAATCAAAACACTCCTCCACACTGCTCTCAGGACAGGGAAGAGATCCTCTGGTGCATTTGTATGAACATTAATGCTTTAAAATGTTGTTTGTGTTTTAATGAAAGTGAATGATAACTACTTTGTGTCAGTGTGGAGTTCATACAGATGAATTTATGTGTATTCCAGAAGATGCACTATTTACTGCATGAAAGAGAAACATTGTGTGTGAATAGTGTACTTGGGGGGCAGTGAGTGACACATTTACCCACTTTAAGGCACATTTGTTTGCCCAATAATGTTATTAAAGTTGTCCACAGCCACTTAAGGTTGCCCTCTCTTAAAATAGGCGTCTTGCAAGTCACAATGGTCAAAATCAGTTCAACAGATATATAGATCTTTTGTCCAGAAACACAGGTCCAGCAACACCAAATGCTAACATTCAAACTGGAGCTTTTCCTATCCAGTCTCCTTCACTACACCCTCCCTTCTTCTAGTAAATGTGTGGAAAGAAACAGGACCCCTAGTGAACAACAATGTTACTAACAGGATGAGAAAATAAATGACAGTTTGCAAACACAATTCTCGCAACAACGTTTTAGGTCATATCTTTCACAGTCTTTCATTTGCTCGTTTTCAAGGTTTACACATAACTGGGAATTCAGAGATGGACAATGTCAACTTTCTATCTCCATAGTGACATTGTTGTGACTTCTGCCCTCTGCCTCTCGTCAATGCCAGATGTGCACCATAATGGTCACATATTTGGGGTAAAAGTAAATGTATTGTAAGCATGCTTGGCTTTCCTGTTTTCCCCATCAGAAATGTTGTCCTCGCTCTGAGCAGTTTCACATTAGCACTTTTTGTGTGAGAACACTGTTGAAGAGAACTTTGAAGAGAACACTGTCCAAGAGAACTCTTGCAACTCTCTTACAACAATAACAATGTTAAGACTTGACAAAGCCCTTATAAGTCAAAGATACGTTTTTATAGTGATTTAGGAGTTTGGGCATCCCAGCAAAAGCAGTCTGAATAAAAAGGACTGCAACTAAGTAGGCCAAGGCTATACAATAATAATACATCAAATAAATAGCAAATATGAGCTCACCATGATCAGCCTCTTTGCACACATGACGCAACATGAGTTTATAAACAAGTATATGCATGCACAACTCTGATTTTTCAGATTTAGTGCAGAAAACAGCATCAATAAATGCACTTGAACTGAGAGAGAGAGTTTGAGATTGATGAGTGCACAGGATGCTTCAGGGGGAGCATGAAACATGACTCCTCCACAGTGAGAGGTGTTTTAACGGAGGACAATCATTCGATTCAAAAGCGGTGGCGTGAGCCCTGGAGACGTCAGCAGTCCCCGCCTTATATTATAAGAATCGATCGTTTTTCTTTATGTTTGTGCCCTTAAATCAGAATTAATGATCGGAGGCGTTATCTGACGGCCAGGACGCGCAGCTGTCTGAGGCTCCGCACATCTGCACAACTCAGACTGGAATAGAAACTCTCATCAGTGTAATGTAATAGTTATACTGATAATTTAACTGAAACAATCCAAGAGGTTTGAAGAATGCGACGCACCTCAGCCTGGGTTGGCTGGGTGCTCTGTTTGTGCACATCTTTGGCTGCGAGCGCGCAGGACTACCCGGACGAGGACGAGATGATCCTGGATCTGTTCAGGGAGGACGGGACTAAACCCGGACCCCGAGCTGTGCCCACTGCTGAGTTCCTCAAGTGCAACAAGGTAACCATCATCATGTCAGGGGCATTGAAGCGCATCTAGATTAGATTTTTCCAACGACCCGTAACCGCCTGTTGTACACGAGGTTGTGTACACCTGCAACCCACTCTCTTCAGTCTGGGTTGACACCTAACATGTTTGAGGTCTTCATCATCTCATTATGCTGAAATAATTGTTATGTATATCCTATGTGTTTTTGTCAATGCTTAGCAGACTTAAATTATAATATACTTGACAAACGTTGCCAGAAAAAGAAAGCAATGTTGGAGAAAGGCAGAAAATAAATGATATGTACCTTCCAAGACTAAGTAATAATACTGACATTTAAAAAAATCCATTTGTGAGCATTGGGACGGATCACTTTACTCTTATGTTTCTCTCCACTGTGCTTCAGGCAGCGTGGCGTGTGCATGGTCAGTACCTGGTCGTACTGCGTCAGGGCACGCATGGCTCTCACGTGCAAAGGACCATCAGGAGACTGAGAGCCAAAGCAGCCCGGAGAGGTCAGCTGCTGGAGATCCTGCACACTTACTCTGCAGCTCTGCACGGCTTCATGGTCAAGATGAGCAGCGACGTCCTCCACCTGGTAACACTTCACCTGTCAGCGAGCTGCTGCTGAGATTACCTGTGAAACCTGGTTAGGGTAAATAAAGGTGTTCTTAGATTTACCTTATTGATCCCAATTCAGGATTTCTTGACAACTAATTTAAATGTGAATGCAAAAAGGAAAACAATATATATTGCATTGTAAAAACAGTAAAATATATATAAATACAAAATAACTAAGTGTTATTAGATACACTATATGATAGTCTATTTTAAATGGATGGTATTTTGTATAAAGCAACATACATTACTATAAAACGAGAATAAACATGTAACAGAATTTAATGTAAAAGATAAATAACGAGGATGAGCTAGTTATAATGAACTCTCATTTGGAGTTATAATTTTCTACAGTAGGAATATTTTAGACTTCCACATAATGAAATACATGTCTGTAGTATCAAGCATTATAAGAACATATATGTAGACATGCAATCTGGATAAGAGTGCATGTCTACATAATGTCCAAGGGCATGTAGATGGAGAATAATAGGGGGCTAAGGGTAAGGAAAGCTCATGATAAAAGCAATTTCGAGTCCCTGTTACGATGTCAAAGTAGCTTCTCATACAATTGATTTATACATTGTGAATCAACCAAAATATTCATCACACCATAGACACTTTGATCACTGTGAACACACATCCTAATTAGGCTTACATCCTCTTTGATTCACTCAAAAAATAAAACATGAAACCAGTCCTCGGGGCAGTATGTGAGGTTTCACTCTCATTAACTCCCTTGTGCAGGCTTTTATTTGAGACACTCAATAAAGTCTGACCCAAACTGAACTCTGGAAATCACTTTCCATTACTGTTCATCTGCATAGGGACCCTGCACTCTTTTATAGAAATCAAAGATGCTCTTAGAAGCATTTTTTTTTTAAATAGCTTATTATTTTTAACTGCAACAAATGCATCTTATTTTTTACCCATTATTTGTATTCTACATATATAACGTTTCCTTATTTCTGCCTTTATTTGCACATTAGTCACTTGCAACATTCAGTTTCACTTCCTAATTTATATTTCCTTGTGCACAATTTGTATTATGTTATGTCTTATAGATAGTTATGTTTCAATGTTGGAGGTGCATGGGACTAAGATTTGCATTGCCATACATTGTAGCTATTGTGTAGTTGACAATAAAGCCTTTGACTCTTGAAAAATTGTTAAAATATATGTTTGTGTTATCGTTGATTTTATTGATGTTTTTTTTAGCTGTTGCATGTTATTAATTTGATAGGATGTTTTTTTTAGTGATTTAGTATAATTGAAAGTGACCTTGAGTGCCATAAAAGGTAACATTAAATAAAATGTATTATGATTATTTTTTAATATTAATATAATGATTGTGTTCCTGACAGGCATTGAAGCTCCCTCAGGTCCACTACATCGAGGAGGACTCGTCCATCTTTGCTCAGAGCGCCCCCTGGAACCTGCAGAGGTTACTGCAGCCTCACGGCGGCTCTTCTGAAAACGGAACATACCGACCGCCCAGTGAGTCTGCCTCTGTGTCAATATGTCAATCACACACACAGATCTAAAGTAATATCTAAAATCCACACACTCTGCCCTCTGCAGACGACGGAGGAATGGCTTTGGTCTATCTGTTGGACGGCAGTGTTCAGAGTTCTCACAGGGAGATCGAGGGACGGGTCCTCATCACAGACTTCAACAGCGTCCCTGAGGAGGATGGAGTCAGAGTTCATAGACAGGTTGCACACACCAATTTGCTTATTTGTCATTGAAGATAAATAGAAAACTCTCAGTTTCCCATGTATGTCTAACTGTTCTCCTCTACAGGCCAGTCAGTGTGACAGTCACGGCACACACATTGCAGGGGTGGTGAGTGGGTCGGACTCTGGTGTTGCTCGAGGGGCCGGTGTTAACCTGGTCCGTGTGCTAAACTGTCAGGGGAAAGGGACCGTGTCCGGAGCTCTGGCAGGTAGGACACCTTCAGATCCGTTGCACTGTTGGGATTATGTTTTATGACAAATGTCACCGAACATTATCCATTGGTTGTCCTTCGATAGGCCCAGCAGCTCTTTTTATGGCTTATTAAATCACCCTTTGAGCCCATTCACAGTGTAATTCTCCATGGAAAGCAGGTGTGGAAATGGAACTGCTGTTGCATGCAACCATTATTTGAAAAGGGAATGCAAGGGTCACTACATCTGCAGGATTTACATCTCTCTTTTCTCAACATCCCTCTCCAGGTCTCGAGTATATCCAATCCACTCTTCTGGCCCGCCCCGTGGATGCTGTGGTTGTGTTGCTGCCTTTCTCTGGTGGTTTCAGCCGGTCTTTGAACGCAGCCTGTCGGGACATGGTGGCTAAAGGAGCTGTGGTCATCGCCGCTGCAGGGAACTACAGAGATGACGCCTGCCTCTACTCACCCGCTTCAGAGCCTGAGGTTGCACACATCTTCTTTGCAACACGTCACATACAGATGCTCGGTCAGGACACCTTGGAGTCCATTTTTATCATCTGGGTACTGTGGGGGAAACTTCTGTGTAGCAATGCAGTGGGAGTCACCGACTCAGGAAGGAGACACGGGGAGAAATGGAGCTTTGATGTCAAACACTGATGGTTTATTTAGGAGCTGGCCGGAGAATTCACAAAACAAGTCCAAGAGCCAGAGGTTCTGACTTCACGGTAGAGTTGCCACGTCAATTCTGAAGAACTCTACCCCAGACCTGTGTATTTAGCTAGTTCAGAGAGAATAATCAACATTGTGCATAACAAGATAGAATCATAACACCTCTATCAGCTGACGCCAACAGGCAGGAACAGGGAGACAAAACACTCAGAGCACAGCAGCCAAGGTTACAGGTGCCTGTGCTCAGTCAGGACAGTATGAATTGATGAACTGGGTCAAAGCTATGGGCCTTGGAAAATATTTCCCCAACAGGTGAAATATTTGGCATAATTGTACAACATGCAGTGTAGTCCAATAGACGCATGGTTAACGTTGTGGATTCAAACGAAAATATTTGTTAAAATTATTAGGGTTAGGGTTAATAAGAACAAGTATGAAAATTGCACTTTTGGTGTCACACAGAACACTAAACAGTCTTCTTCTTGTTTGTTGGAGCCACCCTTCAACCAGAAACATTTACTAAGACATTGTCACTTTTTAAACTACATCACCTGACTATACTCTCGTCAAAATTACTACATCCACTAGAGGCAGCCTACATGTGTACAAATGACGCTGAAAGGGTTCATGAATTGATAGTTTGATGTGTATTACTAGGGACCATGTTGCCATTTTTGAAAGGTTGGGAGTAAAGAACTTGTTGTGAGATAACATACCACTTAACACAAAGCTTCTGATAGACGATTCACACACACTCTTACCTTATTTTTGCGTGTGTGTGTCTGTGTGTGCAGGTCATCACAGTAGGGGCAGTAAACTCAGTGGACCAGCTCATGTCACAGGGAGCGGGGGGCACCAACTTCGGCCGCTGCATCGATCTGTTCGCGCCCGGCGACGACATCGTCAGTGCCAGCAGTGACTGCAGCACCTGCTTTGCATCCCAGAGTGGAACCTCCCAGGCTGCTGCACATGCTGCAGGTATACACACACAAATACAACTTAAATAAATCACAAGTTACTAAAAATAAAACGGCTGAGTATTTATTTTTGTTTGTGCACCTGCAGGTATAGCAGCTGTGATCCTCTCTTCCAATCAGAACGTGTCGCCGGTGCAGGTAATGCAGATGATGCTGCATTATTCCATCAGCCACACGATCAACTTCCTCTCTCTGCCCGACTCACATCGTCTAATTTCTCCCAATCTGGTAGCAGCCATGCCTCCTGCCAAAAGCACAAGTTAGTGATGTATAAAGCTTAATTTTACACACAACCACAGGCAAAACACAGCATCACTTATAGTTCAAACTGTATGTCTGTTTGGGTGTGCAGATGAGGAGCTTCTGTGTCGATCAGTGTGGTCCAAGAGGTCAGGGGTCACGAGCTCTGACCAGGCTGTCAGTCGCTGTCGTCTGGGGGAGGAGATGATGAGCTGCAGTAGCTACACCCCTGATGGTGTCCATGCTGGAGAAACCGTCTCTGTGAGTCCAAACTACCATTTCATTTTCACTAAAAAAACACTCCAATCTAAACTGTTCATATGTGGTTACAGGAGAGCAGCGGGCAGATGGAGTGTGTTGCCTTTAATGCTCTGGGGGGGGAAGGTGTATATGCTGTGGCGCGGTGCTGTGTGATCGGTGGTCTGCAGTGTCAGGTCCATGCCAGCTCTGAGTGTGTCGCAACCATAGGGGTCACAACGCAGCACCATCTCACCGGTGAGTCACAGCTATGTGGAGTTTAAAGCATTCTTTTTTAGAAATGTTGTAAAAGACACTTATTTGGTTTCTTGCCAAGTTTTAGATAAGTGTGATAGCAGTTTTATGTCAGTTCACAAGATATGAAGTTACAACCAGAAGCACTGTAGAAAAATGATGTGGGTGGTGAGAGGCAGAATAACTTATGTTTGACACCAAACCCTTCCTAGTGTTTTTAAAGGTTGGAAGAAAAAAATGCAACTAGAGACAATTTTGTTGGAATTGGATGTTGTGTAAATTGACCTTAAAAATAGTGCATCCTCTTAAAAAAAAGAAAATAAATCTGCTCCTGAAATGATTATCCACCCTCCTCTGCTTAATACACCCTCCCTTAGATGATCTTAGTTGAAAGACTGCCAACAAGGTATATGTGTCATTCACTTATTAACAAGTTAGTTTGTGAGCTTTAGAGGTGCTTGTAACTTTGGACAGAACAGACAATAAAAGGGCTGCTCTAAAGCTGACTGGGTGGAGCTGGCGGCCCGTTAAACTGGGGCTCAGACCAGTGGACCATTTGCCACGTGTCATCCCCTCTGTCTCCCCCTTTCAAATCTTAAACAAATGCACTGGTGGAAGGAAAAACCTTTAAACATAAAACAGACTATCAATGAACTGCCATTTCCAGTCTTTATGCCAGCCTCCTACTTTATTATGAATGGATAGATATGAGAATGGTATCAATTATCATCTAAATCTCATTAAGAAAGCAAATAAAATATTTCCAAAAACATCCACCTACTTTAAAATGTGTCTCTCTTAGTGTGTTGAAGTCAGTGAAACTTGTGCTGTACTTTGTGTTTTCCCTTTAGAAAAAAGCACGGTACACCAAGTTCATGCTTCAAACGTGGCTGCTTTTAGAACATCATGGTCAATTATGCCAGTTACCATGGCAATCCCCCTGAAAGGAAAATGATTTCTCCGCCAACATAAATATCAGCGACACGCAGCGTATGAAGTGCAGGGTCGCCAAACACATAGTTCACATTATATTCCTCAGCCTCTGCTTTCATTATGATCACTGTGAGGTAAATGGGTCACTGCAGGTCTGATAATCACTCATGGAGAATGGATAGAAATACTTCCAAGGCCTCATTATAAACATTACTACCACATTCGCCCTTATATTACAGTAAATCTCATATTTCAGATATCTTCCCCCCTGAAATAGCTAACTATATTTCTTTCTTTCTATGTTAACATAACTAACTCCAAGTATGATAATTAATCGCTATTGTTAAAGGTGGGTAAATTTGAGAAACCGGCTCGAGATACACTTTTTGTGATATTCCATGGAATGCTCTTAACATCCCGATAGCAATGAATATCTGAAGTGCTTTGACAAAAAATCCATACAAAAATGTCATCTGTGGAAGCCGTGGCGCTGTAAAAAGCACGACCAATCATCTGAGCCGGCCCGGCTAAAATAACTGGATGGCCTACCTGCCTGTCAGCCTTCCATCTGTGCACAAACTTATCTCGTGCCCTCATTGGTCATGTGCACGTTCGTGTGTGTTGGAGGAGGGGCTCTGTAAGGAAGTGGCAGATTTTTTTCGGCTGTGTATTTTCAAATTCTAGCGCACTCGGGCTGGTTTCTCCAAAATTACCTACCCCACCTTTAAGGCTAAATACTCATGTATACTGTTGAGTTTTGACACTTTTCCTCGTAACCTTGTTTTTAATTGCTCTTGTAGTTTCTACACTTAAATGTGACCTATCATGCAAAATGCACTTTTTTATGTATTTTATACATAAATGTGTCCCCGGTGTTTCAGGGAACTCACAAAGTGTCAGAAAATAAAACCCTCTCTCTTTTCCTCGTACCCACATCTCTAAAAACGGGGGTACAACGGAGCTGATCCAGATCTGCTGCCGATATTACGTAATATCGGAAATGTGGGCTGGCTTTACGCCCACGGCCCTATCAGAAAGTTGCTATCAGAAACAATGCACGACGTGTTTTGGCCGTAATATGGTCTTTGTTTAAATTAGCAAGCATCCTAACACTCAGAGCTAACCTGTACTGGAGAGAGTAGGCTATGTGTAAAAAAGCAGGAAATAAAAAAGGAAGTCACCTTAAACCCGCAAGAAAAAAAGCATTTGAGCTCCATACTGTTTCAGAAATAATCCTTGAAGTGGTTTGTAACATGATATGGCGTTTAATCACGGCAGTGTTTAGCTGAGTATCTGCCGGTAGAGAGGAGACCTCACTGTTTGCCTTGCAGTGCTCCAAAGGGGGCGGGGCCAGCAGCTACTGATGTTAGTGTTGTTTGTGTCTCTATGGTCTCTACAGGCTGCACATTGTGGTCTGCTGCTGGGATCTCAGCTGACTCCCGTCCACATGGCAGTGATCGGAGGCGTTGTGTTGGGAGCAGCGGGGCCACATCTCATGCTGTGTGCTGCCATGCTCCATCTCTGGAGTGCCACCTGTTGGAAAAGATATCAGCTGATAAAGATCAGGTACATATTTTAGACCAATATAAATGCCTATGGAGGCAAATTAGAAAAAAATCAGACCAAAATCTTATGTTCTTAACTTTATGACAGGTGGAAAAAAATGTTTGCCTATCATTTGTTCAAATATGTTTCATCTGATAAGACAGATCAACCTTTTGGGAGGTGATTTTTTTTGATCAGGTTAATTTTAGCAAATTATTTCTCACCAGTTTTTGTTGATGTAATACTCATTTGGTACACCACAGGCTGAAGTGCAACACTACCCGATGTTTTTAATAGGACTAAAAGCGTTAGATTAGCTTCGATAAATATACTTTCTAGCAAAAATGAAAGACGTGACAGTATTTTACAAAACTTAAACACATTCGTGCATTAATTAATAAAAACTCACGAGCAAGAATAAATACTTGTAGCTTTAACATATGGTAGTGGTGCCTTTTGTGGCCCAAATGATTATTACAACACTTAGAAATATTATCCTGACAAAAAAAAAGTGAAAAAAAAGTGAAATATAGAAAATATTAACTGTCTTTAGGGGTCCTTCCTCCAGACCGTTTTTTAAAACCCTTTCACTACTGCCCTGTTGCAGGTGGAGGTGTCCTGTCCCTCCGGCTGGACTCTGACCGACTGTAGCGCTGTCTCTCCTGGCTCTGTCGTCTTAGCGCCAGTTGCTAAGGGGAACAGTTGCCATGTCGGCAGTGCATCAGGAGCTGGCGGGGCTGCTGGCGTCGCTGTCTGCTGCCGCGTCAGACAACCAGAGCAGCGCCGCGCTTCACCTCCTCCCTGATCTCGCCTCACTCCACTCTGATGTCCTACAGCCTTTATATGTCTGTAATGTTGACTGGAAGGAAACACACACTCCTCTTGCTTTGTCTTCTTTGTGGTGCAGGGAATACATTCACATGGGGATCTAATTTTAAAGAAAAAGGTCAATTCCAGGAAACACTTTTAACCTCTGCATTGATTAACTTAAAGTTAAAAATAGTTGAAGTTCAGAAACGACTTGATAAAGGACTGAAATGCAGAGCGGTTGATAAGTGTGTGCTGGCATTGACTTGAACTCTATGAAATTAGGTGTCTATTCATATCATCTAGGCCTATAACTTTGATCAGTTGTCAACGTTTGTCTGTTTCTCAGTTTTAGAATTAGGTCAAATATGCCCTAGCAGATATTGTTTTGTATACAGTTTGTAAAATATAACCACAAATATTATATATCTTTTACAAAGGAAATATTCTGAAAAAGCTTTCCCCGAACCTGTGGTTAATTGAATACATTGTATTTTAGGTGATATATTGAAACTAATTGTGGCACCCTGGTAAGGCCTAAATGTCCCAGGATGCATTGCATGTGGGGTTCTGAGGCACAGGGTCTCCACGGGCCATATCCTCGGCTTTTGTTGCTGCTGACTCAGCTCTGTCTGCCCTGCATTTTTTGGCCATTTACTCAGGCTTGAATGATCATGTCTGAATAGCCAAGATTTATCTATAGCTCACAAACTGGGTGCCCATAGTTTCCTTGCGCAAAACTACGTCACCGTTACTCAGGGCCGTGGGAAGTAGGGGTGCTGCAGCACTCCCTAGTGGAGGACAGGGGATCTGCACTTCCACAAGATTAAATACAACAAAAAAAAATGAATTTTCAGTCTTGATGTAACAACATTCATAATTAAGTAAAGATAACACCCTTTTCACCCCGGTTACATTTTCCATTTGCCCCGTACGATGGGCGCTGTAAGTGGGGGATGTTGGCTTATCAGGCGCCCGCAGCTCACAGCCAGCGTGTGTGAGTCAGAGAGAGAGAGAGAGAGAGAGAGAGAGAGAGGGTGCACGGGTGGCGGGGAATGTTGTTAGCTTCTGCTGCGCTAACGGATATAAGAAGCTGTTTCTACAATAATGTGGAGGGAGAGCTGTCCTGTCAGACTGAGAGGCTCAGTGAGGTAAAGGACTCTTTGAGTGTTTAGATAGTTCACTTTAGTCTAAGTTGTCTCAGTGGGTCTCAAACGTTTTGATCACAATTTATGTAAACAAATATTTCCAAGGCACTCCTTTATAATTATTTGGATAAATAAAAACAGGTTTGAAAGCATTCCAATGTATACTATAGGACAGTAAACCAAAAATATTGTTTAAAACTGGAGAGATTTAAAAATATGCATAAATAAATAAATGTTAACTGATAAAATAAGATATAAATGAACCACAACAATAAAACAAGTTAGCCTATATGTATTTGTTATCGGTTATGTTCACATACTTATTTGATTATTAAAATGCAAACCGATCTTTTTCATATGGGTGTTTTAGAGTTGTATCCCCTAGATCAGTCTCTAGTAATTGGGCGCTCAAAGTGCACCAGATTGAAGCATTTTACTTTAAAATGTTAAAAAAAAATCTTCCCGGGGGGACACCCCCGTACCCCCCTAGAGGATGTGAAGTCCACCCCTCAATTAAAACATGTTCATGCAATACTAAATACATTTGAAGCCTTTTTACATAAGCTGTCCACCATATCAATACGTTTCTCTGTTTGTAGTGTAGTGGTCTTTTGTAGAGGTTTTTCATTGCCAGCTAAAATCTTGCCTCGGGCAGCAAATTGGTCAAAACCGTCCCTGGTGTCATCCCCACAGCACCCCCCCATTTGAAACGATGTTCCCACGGCTATGCCGTTACTTCAAAAGACAATCTGGATTCAGGAGAAACATTACATTTTGAAGCGGCCTACTCAGATTTACCGATAAATAAATTCCATTTACCGATGGAATTTATTGCTTCAGTCGACTATATTTGCAACAACATTGATTGGTCTTCCACTGAGGCGGTAACATTTAGTAGAGGTAGTAGAAGTAGAGGCAATACACATTATCTAACCAGAGGGTAATCAAGTAATACCTCTTTTTCACAGCAGACATTAACAAAGGTCATCTTATATTCAGAGTCCCAGTAAGACATGACAGTATCAGGGCCCTGGACTAAAGCAGCTGAAATGTAATTCAGTCATCATTCATTTTATTATTTACAGCCGGGATTTTCCTACAGTCATGTCAGAATGTCTTTGTGAAAAACTCATATTAAAAGACAGTTGACACACACGGACGCTCAGTAGTTTAGTCAAATCAGGGCTGAAATATCCATCAGTGCAGCAAACATTTTCACACACGTAATAGTGTTGACAGTTCTGAGTGTAGGTGAAAATCAGGCAGCAGCAGGATTGTGGGTAATAATCTGCCCTATTAGCAGCTTGAATAATGATGAGCCGGATATCTTCTGCTCTCTCTGTGTGTTCCCACAAAACAATTAAACAGCTGTCTTGAATGCTTGAATAAACTGCATTTATGTGAAGTGAATAAAATAAAGTGAAAAACACAATGCCATTTAAACCAAGCACACTCAAAGGACTTTGATTTAAAGATGTCACATGGAGAGCACCGCAGAGCATGAGTGGATTGAAGTTTGATTGGCACAGGAGATGTGGTTTCATAATTGCTAAGGTGATACAACGCGTCATGATTTATGTCTCATCAGATTAGATTATTCTCTACAAAAACAAAAGCCACCACATTAAGCTGGGTTTATTCTTAAAGTGGAGCTCACCTATATATATATATATCAGCCCAATATTACTTTTTCACAGCACATTATTTGAGTTATCATTGAGGAACAGCACAGGTGTACTAATGAAACTGCTCTATTAATAACAGTACAACAGGATCTTAATACTGAAGTGGTTCAAATAATTCAGCAGTAATTCATTAAATCATCATCACCTGTGATGTCAAAAGTCTTCAATAAAAAAGGTCTATTCATTGTCTGCTGTATCAAACCAGAATATGCTACAGAAATCAACATGAAAAGGTAACAAAAACAAAACCCTCAAGGTGCACCTACATTTTGTAATGTGACAAGGTGTAAACATACATAAAAACAATGTTTACAAAAGGTTGTGCATTCCAGTTTATTTTATATCAAATTTCCCCTTATTCAAACTCTGATGTACAAATTAAAACTGAGTTTTAACATGCATTACAGAATCCTGCGATGGCAGAAGTGAAGTCTCAAAATCGAATGACAGTAAAAAACCCGTACAGATGCCAATCCCTTCCACGCCCTGCATCCCAGGATTAAAACAACGATTGTTTGGAAGTTTTTTTTCTTTTTAAGTAGTTGTGGTGATGTAGCAGTGGGGAAAACGTAGGAGACGCTGTTGGCTGAATGTGGCTCATGTTGCCATGTATCTCTTGGCACAGACTGCATGCAGCTCCATCAGACAGAGAAGGGGCCAATGATGTGAAAGTGAGTGCTAATGACCAAATAACACATGTGGAGGGGGGGGGGGCTGTTTTTTATCTGTCACACAAAAAAGACAAACTTCACCACCACTTACTGCCACACATGCAAACGTGCCGAGAGACAGCACGACGTGACATTCACATCTAGAGAGAGGGTAATGGGCCGGATGGGGTGTGGAGGGGATAAAACAGCCTCTTCTCAGGCTCTGAGGACGCACAGAGCCTCAGTGGATTGATCACGTGATGACTCCCAACAGAAAAACGGTTTTGAATGATTGCTTGATAGATTCTCACACTGTAAACATTGACCTGTTAAAGCTGAGAGCTAATCCGCTAAGCTAGTTTAGGCTCATGTCTTCAGAACGTTTCAGTGAACATGTGGCTTCTTTAAAACTACCTAGCATAAATCTGTATCTACAAAGTGTCTCTGCTCGAGTGCAGAGTGAAAAGAAGCAGCATTTTACCATCACCAAAACCCTGTCCTCTTGACCCTCTTTTATTAGGGTCAAACTTACACCCCCCCCCCCCATACACACAGGATCAACAGTTACATTTCTACAATCCTTTGTCACAACACACAGAGGACATTTTCCCTGTCTTATTTTGGGTCTAATGGGGATGAAGAAGCCCTGTTGTACTCCTATAGCGAGACTATCTGACCACATGGACACTGGTTGGGTGTCGTGGTCAGGTGGAGCAGATGTTGACCCACCTCCTCAGAGATGTGATAAGAGTTTTCGGAGGTGGGACGGGGGGAGAGATCGAAAGGTTAAGGCACTTCAAGTCTCCCGATGACTGGGGGCAGGGACGATGGATTCACTGGTGCTGTTCCGCTGTGAAACTAGAGCTACATTTGGGTTCAGCTCCTCTGTGTGTGTGTGTTTCCAAAAGGTAGACAAAAGCAAACAAAAGGCCAAGCAAAAAAAGAAAAACACCATTGAAAAAGACAAAAAAATAATCAAACCTGATAAAGCAGAGGTAACAGTGATGCGATAAGGACCTGCTCTTTGTGTTCGTGAGCGGAGTGAATGAGTGACACACGTTTGCATGGTTTTCACAAGTTCTATCATGTGTGTAACCGTGGCACCTCAAAAGAAAACATGCTCCTGAGCTTCCCCTCAGTCGGCACTGACGGCCCACCACCACTGATCTGTGCACTTCCAGATCAGCTTTTTCTTGCATAAGGCTTGAGTCCCTAAACATCCTCTCCAATATTCAATGCATCCGGAGTCAAAGAAAAATGGCAACGAAAATAAAAAACAGCGATAAAAATAATAAAATTCCAGCACATGGGGCTGCCTGACAGCGAGACGACGTGAACAGAGGAAGAGTGCGGACCATGGCACTGCATTTTTTAAAGATGTGATGAGGCCGTGTCCTGTTTATGGGACAGAGCCCTGTACTGCGGCCCTGGTGAATGGTTAAGTCACGCAAAGCTATCAGGGCTTCCATGTGTCGGCATAAGTGGCACTGAAAATATAAGTTGTTAAAAGCAAGAAGAAGAGGACACAATGGCGACGAGGCTCTAGAGGAAGTGACCAGTTCAGCTGTACATCACAATAGACTGGGCTGGACTATAAAGTGCATACTTAACCCCAACCCCCCCCCAAGTGCTCGTGTGTAGAGGGGTTACTGTACGTCTGTACGTTCCTCTAGAGCCGTTAACGTGACCTTTCGCAAATTGCATGGCTGTGGAGAAGAGCACAGGAGACTTTAAAATATTATCTTACACTGGAAAGTACATCTATGGAACAAATCTTTACAATATGAATATGTCTATGTAGATACATTGGCAAATATGAGCAGAAAATTGTTAAAACACAACCCAAACCCATCCTCCACCTTGCTGTCATTCTGAGTGAATGAATGAATAAAAGGATAAACTGAAGTCATCCGCGTGACCGAGGAAGGTTTTTTCTTTTTCTACTTTCCCCCATAATCAACTCTGCTGCCCTTAAAGATAATGCATCTCCATCGTCGCCTTGGCTGCTCTGAAAGGAAGTAATTTATGATTTATTCATAGCTCCTTCGTTGCTGTAGCGACCAAGAGAATTAGTGTTCCGATTGGCTTGTGGTTGGAGTCCCAAATGTCCCGACCAATCAGAGGCAAAGTGCAGCCCTTTCAGTCGGCTGCCCGGAGCTGTGCCACCTCTCCATCGGAGGCCTCTCCTGCGGGGGGGCCGAGCTACGGGTCCACGTCTTCTAGATCGCTCTTCGAATCGCCGAGCATCATGGGAGACTCTGACCCCTGTGGGAGAGACAGATACAACAAATATATGAGAACAAAGAAAGAAATGTCGTGGGTTTTTTTTAGAAGGAAAAGGAACAAATGGTGGAATATCTAGCAGTGACAGCGAGATTATTCTATTATTATTCTATACAGCACTCTGATTATCTGGA